CCTCTGAAGGGCCCGGGGCGACCCCTGCCGGTGCCCCCTCCGCCTCCCGCTGCTCCTCTGCCTCCCTGTGTCCAGTGTGAGCTGAGATGGGTGTTACACGTCTGCTTGCAGTTTGCTGCTGCTTTCTAATGTTTTTTTAGGTTTTAAAAAGAATGCAATGTGTGTAAACTTGTGCTGTTCGTTGTGTACGCTGTGCATTTGAGCATAAATATCCCATGAGCTTTAATTTGCAATAAAGAGATTTTTAAAAAAAATAATAGGTCTCGTTTCCTCTGTTACTTTCCATTATTGTTTGCCATAACTCTCCAGTGTGGGCTGGTTTTGTGGGGTAACGGTGAATTCAGGGAGTCTGTGGAAAGTGTTTGGAGGGAGAGGGTCTGGAGGGGAGGGCAGGCGTTGCTGGCTTTGGGAGCTGGGCTGGAAGTGGGGAATCCTGCACCCCGGAGCTGCTGCTGCCATTCCCTTCCCTTATTGATTTTAAGGGTGTGTTTATTGGAGCTATTGGAATTCAGATTTTTCAGGTTTTCCATGGAGCTGTTAGGGTAGGAACACACTTTTTTTTTTTAAAAAAAAGCACATCTCTTTATCTAGGAAAAAGAATTAAAAAATCAAGAGGAGCAACTAGTGGGACTCCAGCTGTGATTTCCAGTGTCTGCAGCTGGAAACCAGCTGGTCCCTAAAGGGACTCACCAGCCACAGCCTGAAGAGAAATGACATTGGATATGGTCAAGGAAAACCCCTTTTATCCTTTTTATCCTGCTGTGGGTTGAGGTGGTCTTAGAGGGTGTGGAGCAGGAGGTGGCTTTTGGTGTGGCTGTGCCCTGGCTGATGCCCGTGGCCGCAGGTATTAATTAACCTCCTGGGTGCCCGCGGGGAAGCTGCTGATGTTCCCCCACACAAATCACTTTGTTCTAAGTCATCTGGAAAAAAGGAAATCTAGAAAGCCTATGTTTGTGTTTGAGATTAACTGGATTCTTGTGAATATTTAGTGGAGGTCAGTGCTGGTCAGGAGTGAGGAGGGACTTGTTGTGAGCAAGCCCCTGCTTGTGGGGTGAGGGCAGGCAGGCTCTTGCTGTGTTTTACTAAGAACTGAAAAAAAAAAAATCTATATTTTCAATGCCATGTGTCTAATTGTATGAAATCATTGTAATTCTTGTACAAAATCAGAGCTGTCAAACTTCAGAAAACGCAGCTCTGCCTTATAACAGCTCTTGTTCTACACGAAGAAATTCGCAGGGCTTTGCAAGGACAAGTCAACAGAAAATTTACCTTATTTGAAAAAAGAGAGGTCTGAAGTCTGCATGAAAAACCCTTCATAAAGCTTGCTGGAAATCTCTGTTGGGTTACTACAGCTGTTCAAAGATCAATATTGTTTATTTAATTAAAAATGACAATGTTTGTCCCTGTACTGCGTGGTACGGGATGCTTCAGATATCTATAAGCCAGCAGGTGAGAACTACATCTGTTTTATTGCATCTTGGCATGGACTCGGGTGAACTTCAGGAAGGTAATATATCCCATTCAATGTAGGAATGTGATAAATTTTCCTGGCAAGAACCCTCAGATTTGGCAGAACAAACCAGTAGCCTTTACCCGGGGTAAAAAGGCCACTGCCAGGTTCTTGGTGGCGATTCAAGCCTGGGGGAAACTGCTGCCAACGTGCACGAGGAGCAAACGGTTACGTCTGCCAAAACTCCCCATTTCTGGAAAACGACCCACCAGTGGCAGCTGGATTCGGGAACACCTTTCAGTGAGATGAAGGGCAGCTGGGTTTCCATCGTGGACGTGGGTGCTCAGCTCCGAGCGATGCTCCTTGGGACTGTGTGTGCGGCTGAGCTGCGGCGGGTGTTGCTTTAACGGGATTAGGTGTGGAGCTGGTTGTGAACAAAACTGTGTTTTGAGTGTTGGCCATAAGCTTTTGAGGTCAGAAGGGATGAGGACATGCTTGACATGGCCCAGGGTGAAGCAGACCTCTTGAGACCCTCATAGCATGCCTGAGGTCCCTGGGCATTGCGAGGGCACCGGCACTGGCTGATGCTGTTGCTGCAGGATGGAGCGGGCAGCGTGTCCGGCTCAGCAAGGATCATTTCAGCAAATTGTTGGCAGCTGCACACAGAAAACAAACAATTTCAACATCTGCTTGGGTTGCATTCGGTTTTGTAGTGTTTCGCTTTCTGGGTTGAATAAACTACTTCCTTCTCGCTCAGGGGAGGAGTTAATGATTTATGGGTCAACTGGCACAACTCTGGTCTCTGCAGAATTCAAACTTTTTTGTGTGGAGCCATATCTGAGCACGTAGGCGTATCATAACTCCTCCTTCAGCGCCGGGTGACTGGACAAGGACACTCATCACTTTGTCTTGCAAGAGCCGCACACGCCGGGTCTCCCCATCTCCTGCTGCCGGACCTCCAGGTAAGGTGGCTCAAGCCATACGGCTTTCTGTGAGTCCAAATTGCACTTAAATTCCATTTTGTAAAGCAGTTCGGGCTCCTGAATGACTTGTATGCTTTACAGCTTTGCTCCACTTGATGTTATGTGCACAAACCTGTTGTATCTTTCTGGTTAGGTACATCTCTCTCTCTGCACGTAGCTTATTGTTAGGGGACTGTGTTGACTCCAGCAGGATTTCATCGGACTATGGATTTGTTTCCAAGAGATTTATTGCTAAACCAAAACGTTTTACCCATGAGATAAGTTTCAGGAGACTTTTTCCAGAAGGCATAGATAAATTCACAGCCCTGCAGGTATTAGTTTGGCTGGGAAGAACACTATGTTGGCAATATAATGGTTTTAAGTTGAACCTGACAAACTACAATGTATTTATGTTATGGTTTGAGTGGAGCTGTTAGTCTTTCTTTTTTTTCATTTTTTTTCATTTTTTTTAAAATTTTAATCAAAAGCTGCATTCTCAAAAATGCAAATAAACAGAGACTGGTGGAATAAAGCCTATGGGAATTGCTTAACATCTACAATCAGTTGTCCTGTTTGTGTCATTGTGTTTTTCATGTCTCTGGTCTGCAGCAGCCAGCCTTCCTCACCCAAACCCAGCTCTGCCCAGCAGCCCAGCTCCTCCACACTGGGTCTCGGTCCCGTTGGCCGGACAGGAGCCAGCAGGCGAGTGGCTCTGCTCTCCTGCAGAGCATTGCAATAGCTCCTGCACCTTCTGGTCCCCAGCCACGACTGTAGGAGCTGCTTGGGGATGGAGAAAGGAGACATGTCCGTATGAGCTGTGGTCATCCTGAGTGTAAATACCCTCCCTGCTATTTTTACAGGTATTCGGCCTAGAAAAAGAATGTGGTAACTTCTGTGGGATCTCCAGACAGGGAGGCTGGAAGAAAGGAAGATGCCAGTTTTGGAGCCGGGGAGGCAGAGGGGTCGCGCCGCTGCCCTTGGGTTATTCCTCACCGCTGCTCTTGTTGTGTCTGTCCAGAGTAAGTGAACACGAGGAGCGAGGGAGTCTGTTGGGATGAACTAAGATCCCTCCAAGGAAAACCTTCTCCTGGGGTTCACAAGACTTGGATCCTTCTCTTTTCCTCATTGCCTTTGCATTTTGAGAACATTGTAAATCTTTGTGATCGGAATCCGTCTTCCTTTGCCTTTTTTTCCTTTCTGTGTAAAACAGTAGTAAAATTATTCCAGCTGAAAAAGATGTAATGATTTATACTAATTGGGGAGAGGAAATAATTCATCTGGACTTCGTGATCAGCCTTTGAAACTGCTGGATGAGATGTGAGGAGGGAACAGGACCCGGTGGGGTGATGTTCCTCCCCTGTCCCTGCCAGCCACAGCCATCCCCAGTCACGGACTGCACCTCTCCTCTTTTTTTTCTGGCTTTAAGGAGTTTTTAAGGCCACTGAAGTGTCCTCACCTGGACCTTCAGAGTACATCAGACCTGAACTCCCATGGCTTTTTCTCCCAGCGTTTTTCTGATGAGTTTCTGTCCGTAGGTGCCTGCGATGTTCCGCCACGACTCCCGTCTGCAGAATTCAAAGAGCGGTACCGTGGCATCACCTCATTTTCCTATAATTCAAAGGTGGAATACGTCTGTCGTCCAGGGTAGGTGAGAAATATTAGAGCTGACAACTTCCTTGTTTGTGGAAGGAACGGGAGGTGGCATGGAACGATGGAGATCTGTATACGTGAGTATATTTTGGGTTGACTTTTGATTTGGGTTTTTATTCCCTGATGCTATCAGCTCATTTTGTTGGAGCAGTATCTGAAGTGGCCTCATGGGACAGTGGGAGATGAGTGCCCAGACACAAAGCACTGGTTGTATTCCACTGGCAATGGTGGCAAAGCTGAAATCTGCTTTGATGCTGGCTGTGTTTGATTGCTGATTCAAAGGGTGTTCTTCTGCTCGGACACTTTGTAACTCTTGGTTCAAAAAAAGTATTTTGAACTTGTAGAAGGAGCATCCTTTAGCTGGGAAGAAACGCTGTCGCAATTGCCAGGGTTACTGCAAATTCCACGCAGGCTGCAGAGGCTGACTGCAGGTCCTGATGCAAGTCTTAACAGCATCATGAATGATGAAGTAATTCAGGATTGGAGGGGAAATCTGGAGGTCTCTGGTCCATCCCCTTGCTCAGTATTGGAGGAGTCTTCTGCTTTCCTGCTGCGTTTTCCCAGTTCTTCAAGAAAGTGAAGTAAGAACTAACTCCAGTGCTGTTGTCCTGCAGCAAAGCAGTGCAGCTACCCCGGGGAGCCGGCCAACGGCAGACTCGTCCTGGTAGAAAAGTTCACTTTTGGTTCAGCAGCGAACTTCACCTGCAACCCTGGGTAAGCCGGGAGCACTCGGGGCACGGGTCCTTTTCTTCCCCAGCAATTTTTCTGAAGTCTTTTCCCTCTAGATTAAAGCCTGTGCTGTTAGAAGCCTTACCAGTGTTAGGTAATTGCAGACCGTAATTGAAATATCTTTTAAGCTTTCCTTTGAGAGCTTTAAGATCGAGTTTTCCTAATCTCATACTTTGAGACACTTCTGCCTGAACTCCAGCTTGCTCTCCTGGCCCTTTCTAAACCATTTCCAATATTTCAGTATCTTTTTGAAGAAAAGACATCAATACTGAACTGGGAGCTGTAGTGATAGCTACAGCTGACTGATAAAGTAGACATTTTTCCTTAAAGCCATGCAACTTTTTTATTTAAAAAATGCTTTTGTCAAAAGCCAGTGTGTCATTGAAAGAATGACACTGATGGCAAATTTCTGATCCGATGTGATTATGATAAGGAAGCCAAAACCATCATCCTGATGGTGGTGGTATCGGTAATACATCAAAACTGAGTTTGTTGAGTAATTCCCTCTCCCTTATTTCATACAGGCACAGACTGGTTGGAAATTCTCAAATTCATTGTGTGATTAAAAATGGGATTGTTACATGGGACAGAGATATTCCCATCTGCGAGCGTAAGTAGAGTTCCTTAATTGATCTACTGCTTCAGTGTTGTGGGGATGGATGAAGAAGCATCGCATTGCCCTGCTGAGGATTTCAGCAGTTGGATGCAAGGGGGAGTCTGGAAAGACTTTTTTTTTATTTTTTTTTGTCATGTTCTTCTTGCATTGTCCTGCAGAAAAAATTATTCACTGTCTGGGAGTAAGGAAGGCAGCTGCACATAAGGCTGGTGTATCCCAAAACAGCTTGGTGCCTGGGTCAGGGCTCTGCTGCCTCTGGGCTGGTGTGCAGCTCCCTTGAGACCTGCCCTTGGCTTCTGACCCTTCTGGCACCTCATGTTTCAATTTTTTTCTTACCAGACCTTTGATTCAAAATGAATTAAGTTCGTTCTTTCTTGTTCTTCTCTTTCTACCATTTCTCCCCCTTCCCTCCCCAGCAATACCGTGTCCACCCCCTCCAGAAATAGCCAACGGGAAGCACAGTGGAGCTGACAAAGAGCTCTTTGAATACGGAGCATCCGTCACTTACCGGTGCGACACTGTCAGAAGAGGAGAGAGACCTTTCTCGCTGGTGGGAGACGCCTCGATTTTCTGTACGACCACAGATAACATAAACGGGGTCTGGAGCAAACCAGCCCCGGAGTGCAAAGGTGAGCTGCTCCTGCACGTTTGCAAGCTGGCCGGGACGCTGCAGCAGCACCGGCCGTAGCCCCGTCTCTGCCACCCCCTCTGCTAAAGCTGTTTTCTTCCTCGGAGCCGTCTCTCTCCTTTATGTTGAATTGCCTCTTGCAGATGAGACCCTCCGAGTTTGATAGCAGCAACGGGATTTGGGGTCTCCCCTCGCAGGGACCGTGCCTGCTCACGGTCACCAAGTCCGCGGGGGACGTGGGAGTGGGGTTTGTATCGGCGTTCCCAGGCCAGACGATGCATCTTGCCTACCAGCTTGTGTAAAAATGCCTGCAAAGAATTCGGAAAGCTGCTGTGATACCTGCTGCCTTTCCTATGTTCTTTGCCTTAAAAAGTATGAAACAAAAAAATGCTGTAATATGGAGTAAGGAGACAAAAAATTCCCCGTCAGCCTGCTACCTTGTCGTGTCCGTTTCCAGCCTTTTTGGTGAATGCATCTTGTGCGACGAGAATGTTTTCAATTCACAGTGGTGAACTGTGAGCATCCCAGCGTGGCCAACGGGCAGCTGCTGAGCAGGTACCAGGCTGCCTACACCTTCAGAGACACCGTCATCTTCGACTGCAACTTCCGCTACACCCTGAGCGGCAGCGACACGTCCACGTGCAAGGAAAACGGCCTCTGGGACCCTCCGCTGCCGCTCTGTCAGCTCAGTAAGTGAGGGGGCCCTGCCTGATCCAGTGGCTTTGCTTCGGTGAAGTCCCCACCCTTCTAAGAAAGCATTAGGTCATGAAAGGGATGGCTCCAAGATTTGACTTTTTGGATTCTTTTAGCTCATCTCTCTGTACATGACTTCAGGAGTTTGACTTGGGGCCATAGAGACTAAAGCCTGGTCCCGTTCGAGCTCGTGAGCGTTTCTTGGCAGCGTTCAAAGGGACTCGATTAACCTTTCTGTACTTAATATTTTTGAAGTTTGGCAGAGCCTCAGACAGTATGAACTTTATTAGAAATTACATCTCGTTATAACAGTGGAAATTACTACGCAGGCTGAAATTATTCCTACATTTTCATTTGTCTCCTTTGCATTCATTGTTTAGCATGACTGAACTCAGATGACTAGGTGCATCTTGGAAAGAACGATGTGAGCCCATGACTTTTCCCTAAATCCCCTGTGTTGTGTCACATACTGTTATGGGCCTGGCTGATTTATCGCTGGCAATGTCCTTAGGGTGCTCTTTCATCCCCAGGTAGCTGTGATGACCCCCCAGACGTGCAGAATGCTGTTAAAGCAAAACTCGCTGGCAATTTGTTTCCTGCGGGGACTGTGGTTACCTACGAGTGTGCAGAGGGCCACCAGTTCAGCCCGGGAGAGACCACACGGCACGTTGAGTGCTTGCCAGATTTTACATGGACCGAACCCCCACATCCTTGTGAAAGTAAGTGTGTGTTCCTTTGGCTTTCTTACCCTTGTGATTCAGCAAAATTATTATTGAATGACGAAGCCGTACGTGGTCTGCTGTAGTGCAGATCCCAGGGCAGGGGGGGGATGCTCCGGGTGCCCAGCGTGGTGAGTCTCTGGGCTTTGCTGTGACTCCTGAACTCCTTTGATTTGCTCCCCAGGCACGGGGTTTTCTCTGCTTTATTCACCAGCTGTACTTTCTAGTCCCCTGAACCTGCGGAAAAAGTCATTGCGGTGTCGAGAGTCCCTTGCTCCATCCAAGGGGAGGTTGCAGTTGCAGACTCTCTTGCAAGCACCCCCTCCCCCAGGAGTGCCCAGGAACAGTGTTGGGGCAGATTTAGTGTTGTGCTGTGTCTCTGCCTTACAAAACATTCATCCTTCCGTTTACAATGAATCTGCTGTTGCCCAGGTGGCTTTGCCATGGTTTCACCCTTGCTAATGTCTGGTGTTTCTCAGGAATTCGTTGCCCAAATCCAGACATCAGGAATGGAAGGCACTTACATGTATGGGAAGAAAAAGACAATTATGTGTATGGAGACAGACTGGAAGTTACGTGTAATGATGGCTATGCTTTCAAGGGTCGGAGCAGTAACCTTGTGCTTCGGTGTACAAGTGATGGTAGATGGGATCCAGCAGCACTGGAGTGCGCTCCAGGTAGGCGAGAGTTGGTGAAGCACCTTGATTTGGCAACTGCTTATTTTTAACTGCAAAGGTTTGGGTCGCTCTGTACAGTGTAGCTGTCTGCTGACGTCCGCAGAAAAATCTACATGTGGCCTTAGATGCTGGTAGTAGCAGGATACGCTGTCACATATCCCCAGATTTAGTCCTCCCGTATTAACTTGGAAGAAACAGGCAGCAGCAGGTCCAGAGGGATCATTGTATCACCTGGGGATTGCTGTGGGAGAAGTGCAGGGTTTTGGCAGGGGGCTGAGCTACTGCCTGGGGAGGTGGGATGGGAAAGGGGGGTGTTGGTAGCTTTTAGAGGCTGAGGAGGTTCCTAAGAAGCCTGGGAGATGTTTACCCAGCTGGAAGGGGATGTGGTTTGTGCTTCAGACAACAGCTGGGCTGGTTTGCTGACATAAGGCTTGGGAGCAGAGGACGTTCTCACTGCATTTCCCCTCTCAGAAGAAAATGTAACAGCATAAACAACTGATGCTGCTGAAATTAATGACCCCACAATGGGACACCACAGCAATACGAGTGAGCTGCTGGAAGCAGCCTGAGCCCAAAAGCTTAGGAAAACCTTACCAGGAGGAAAGGTCCCAGGGCAGCCAGCATTAGAGCATGGATGATTCCTGGTCCTGGCCCTGCCGCTGCCTGCGAGGTGCTGGGCAGCCTCACCAGGGCAGCTCCGTGAAAAAGCAGGGGCTGCAGCCCCTGGGAAGGCAATGGTGGGTGGGGGAGGCTCAGTTGGGCATGGACCCAACTCTGCAGCATGTTCCTTTTCCAACAGCCTCAGAAAAACCCGATTGTAGAAGCAGAAACTCCTTTAGAGTCATAAAGGAAGTGTTGAGACCTGTGTCTGGATGATCATCGCCTTTTTTCCCAGGGTTCAGATGTTCTTGATAACTGTCTTCTCCATAGAAGTTCTTTCTGAAAATTCATGGCATCCTTTATTTTCTGTTGTTTCTAGAACCTCGTTGCCCAAAGCCAGACATTGCTCATGGAATAGAGATTTACAAAAGCAAAAATGACTACACAGTTGGGACCCGACTGAGGCTGGCGTGTGATCCGGGCTATGTCCTCAGGGGCCAGGACTCGACCGAGTGCCAGGCTGGCTCGAGCTGGGCTCCCCCGTTACCGTTTTGTGATAAAGGTACATCCACGTAACGCAGTGCTGGGAAGAAAACTCGTGCATCAGTGTTCAGAAGCAGCAGCCAGTAGGTGACCTGCCTTCAGCGTCTGCTTCTGGGGAACGGGGCGATGATCACCAGCTCATGGGCTGAAAGTGTTGGGCTGTCTTCTCCCTGGAGATGTGACCCAGGTGGGAGCTGAGCAAGAAGCCAGGCAGCCACTTCACATGAATTTGCTGTGCTACAAACATGAAGTTAACTCTTGTATTGATTTCCCAGAAGCGGTTTTGATTGTCACCTGAAGATGATAACCGTGCGTCTCTTCTTATCAGTTCCCTTTATCCCGCAGTCTGTGGCCCCCCTCCACAAATCTCCAGCGGGCAGCACTCCGGCTTGGGACGGGAGCAGTTCCCCTACGGCGCGGAGGTGACGTACAGCTGTGCAGAGGGTCTGTCCCTCATTGGGGATGACACCATCTACTGCACCTCCGACGATGGGGTGAACCTGACGTGGAGCGGACCCGCCCCGGAGTGCAGGGGTGAGTCGTTTCTCCTGTACGGGACCAGACTGAAGCCAGGACCTGGGTGCAACATTTTGGGATTTCAGCACAATGGGACTGGATGCGAGCAGGGCTGCTGGGAGATCCCACTTCCTCTGCAGGCTCAACAACTCTGGACTGGGGATGATCCATGTGGAAATAGGAGACTGGCTCTCCTACATTGATGGCCGTCAGATGGTCAGGAAGAGCAGCTCTGCCCCGTTCCCCGTTGTCCTTGGGAAAGGGCAGTGGCCAAACCCACCACCCCACACTC